AAATTAGAGAAGACTAGCTCAGAAAGCCCACGTGCAGCTTTACGCGAAATTCAAAACAAACCAAACCAAACCTAGATGTGAAGTTTGAGGAACGGTTTCTGCACGTTGCCGAAAAATAATATTACTGTAGCCGAAAGAGAACCGAAGAGATGGAGTCCATTTTTACTTGATGTTTAGTGTGCACTAAGTTGTCTAAACTTTAATAGCTTTTACTGTGTACAGTGACTTGGCGTGGCCTAGTGACCATGGTTCGCGTCTCGTTGTCACAAATTTGGGTCGAGTAACTGGTGAAATCCCACTAGCTGATTGTTATTTAACATCTATTCACATAGTTACAGAAGACTTACAATAAAGCTTCATGTTTACATAACATGACATAAAAGAAAAAAAAAAACATCTTAAATTGGTACTGAAATTTGTCGAACCTTAAGTAGGCTTATACTTGAAGATATTTTGTTTTATTCTCGTTCTCAGATAGTCATATTTCAAAACCCACAAGCACGGAATACCGCCGATGTTTTACGTGCCAAAAGATCTCACGAGAAACGATTTGTATTCGACTGGGCCTTCGATGGCAAGACAACACAGGTTGGTTAACCGTGATTTCGTATTATAATGTTAGAGTTATAAGATTAATGTAAACACAGGAACTTAGATGCATCAGGTATCACGTCTGTATCTTTAAGTAATTCTAGCAGATCAAAACTATTAAAACCAAAGATAATGCACTTAATTATCACAGTTTTAACAGTGAGTCAATGCAGTTTTTTTTTTTACTTTTTATTTTCACTTAGAGAGATTGTGAAATTCAATTAGGAATTAGAGCTTGCTTTTATTTCCTTTTCTTCAAAAATATAGTTATAACTTTATTCCTTCGTTGGCTAGTTCTTTTTAAATTATTTGGTGAAAATAATTCAAGTCTACACTAATCATAGCAGAAACGTCTGGAAAATGATCTATAGGAAATAGTACAGCTTGTAAACGTAGGCCGGTAAGGCAATCACTGATTGGCATGTCCTTAAGCCAATCAGGAAATGTCACAGATCTACTGAAGGATGCGTAGATTGTATAGAAATTCTTTTTTTGGCGGCAAAAGATTAGTGTCTGGCGAAAAGCTTCAGCAGATATTTCCTTTGCAACATCTCAACCAACAATTGGTCCAGTTATCAACGCTATTTTCAAGTTTTGAACAACTCGACTTTCGAGATCTACATATCTACATGTGCCGATGTTTCCGTTTATCAACGTTATATTTTAAGATGTGTGCAATAACTCAGCTAACAGATGTTTCCGCATATAAAAGATACTTTCTGTTCTGTACTTACAGGAGGAAGTGTACATCAAAACCACTAAACAGCTCGTGGACAACGTCATGAAAGGATACAATGCTACGGTATTCGCTTACGGAGCCACTGGTGAGTTTGTTCATATCTCAAACTTTCGGTATTTATGAATTGTTAACAACACACACACATATATTCAAGCATCTCGAATAGAAAAATCCACAACGTAATTGTATCGGTTATACATTCAAATCAGAAAATCTAAGCAGAAAAAAAAAAGTTTAAGGAGAGATACAAAATTAAGTTTGCATCAGAGATGATTTGGTCACTAATCCTCGGAGATTATTTGGTTATTACTTATCCGTAGGTGCTGGGAAAACCCATACAATGGTTGGCACGGATCAAGATCCGGGAATTATGGTGAGGGCTCTAAGTGACCTCTTCAAAGAAGTTCGAAACAATAGTGATGCCACATCCTACGAGGTCAAAATGTCATATTTGGAGGTAAGGTTTATCACTGTTCCATTTTCCAATGCCACATCCAACGAGGTCAAAATGTCATATCTGGAGGTAAGGTTTATCACTGTTCCATTTTCCAATGCCAAATCCAACGAGGTCAAAATGTCATATCTGGAGGTAAGGTTTATCACTGTTCCATTTTCCAATGCCGCATCAAAAGAGGTCAAAATGTCATATCTGGAGGTGAGGTTCTCCATTGTTCCATTTTTCATTCCTTTGTTTTTATCCTCGCGATAGACACACATCATAACGTTGAGCGTTATTTAACTGATTATGTTTTGCAGGTTTATAATGAAAACATACGTGATCTTCTGAATTCCCATTCTGGACAACTTGACCTCCGGGAAGATTCACAAGGGAACCACCAGGTGATAGGACTATCGGAAGTATCAGTTTCTAACGAATATGAGGTAGTAACACTGAGCGACCTCTAACTTTATCGTATAAAATAAAATTTCGTTCTTATTAATCTTAACTCAAGATACTTGTAAATGTTGTATGATTCAAGGCTTAATTTTTTCTTGTATCATGGTACTATAGTGACTACATAGATCAGAGGTTTCCAACAGTCAGCCCACAGGGAGATTTCAACCGGTCCACAAGAAGGGTTAAAAGTGTGTGTTTTAAAATATTGTCACTGGACTGTATTATTTTATAACGTAACAGAAAAGTTATTTAAAAAGCTGATATTGTACGAAGTGATCTGTAAAATTTTGGGAACGGAACCAATTGGTCCTGTGTTGGACAAACGTTGTGAACCACTGACATAGAATATATGACCCTCAGTGAAGGTTTATAACACTGAAAACCGGGTTTCGATACCCGTGTTAGGCACAACAGCACAGATAGCACATTGTGTAGCTTTGCGCTTAACAACAACAATCAGACAGACAGACGTAGAATATGGAAATGTACTTAAAAGGGGTTTTTGATTTGTTTGTTTGTTTGAAGTTAAGTACAAAGCTACACAAAGGGTTATCTGTGCTCTGCCAACCACGGGTATCGAAACCCGGTTTCTAGCGTTGTAAGTCCGCAGACATGCGGCTGTACCACTGGATGGCAAGGGGGTTTGAAAAGGATAAAATTTTCCAATGTTACTTTGCGATTTCAGTAAACAATTACAGTGTGACACAAACCTCCATGATAACCCTTACTGATCCGTGGTTTATTAAGCGAATATATCTTGTACATTATTATAAGAATCTAGACACGAAAGTTGATGCACGGTGCAGTAAAAATGCTTAGCGGAGAAGCGGAGCCAGTCTATAAAATTACGAGTTGGTACTTATGGGCATGTTTGTGGAATAAAAATTGTGGTTCGATCCATGCAATGAATATAGCTCAGTGTGCAGCTTTGCGCTTAACAACAGAAACAAAGATAAGATAAGAGCTGAAAATTTTTCACAACATTTATAAACGAGTTAAGTCTTTGTGGGACAGAAGTTAAATAAAAAGTCACATTTAAATCTCATAGTCCAAAAAATATACCGACTAACACTTGTTCAATATATATTGTTACGTCTCCGTTTGTTAATTAACTTTCCGTAACTTCGTTCCGACGAAACTTTAGCGACACAAGTCCTTACTTAATAAAACTGGTTTATTCTTTCTGAATATAACTTCACGATACACTTGATTTCACCATTCGCGCTAAAACAAACGCTATAACGAACGTTAAATTCAACAATACTTTCTCACTGCAGATCAATTACTCACTACCTACACACATTGTTCCGTCACGTTGTCACCCTCTTATATATATACCAGACTACCCTCAATCTAGTAATCTCCCGAAGGTTCGAGAAAGAAGTGGCGTGACACTAGTCACGTGACCTCGCTGACGCAACAATATCCATTTGACCAGTTGTAGAATACTGATTTGCTGACAGCTTATAATTAAAAGTGACGTTAACACCAGTGACGTAAGCAGGTGAGTTGGCTGGGTGAGCTCAAGTCCCTGCCTTTCTGCTCTTATGACCCAAAAGTGTCCCTTTTCTCTGTTATAAAAATTGCCCATAACTACTAAAAGACGTCTGATTCCACGCCTTGCTTACTGCATGTTATTATGTAGGTCCTTACAGTAAAAAAAAAACAAACCATGATAGGCAACTATATATGTTAGTATACAATAATTCAGTGCTCACTTTTAGGTTTCAAAAAGTATTTATAAGTCCAATTGAATAGGAATAAAATATGATTTGTTTATTTCTTATGACTTTTTACCTTATGTGTTTGCGGGCAATCCACAATCCCCATAGTCTCATAAAACAACCTCCCTCCCCCATAAAAAAAAACGATTTTTTAACGTTGTTTGAAAGATGCCCTTTCTTTGTCAATTAGCCTTTTGCCCTTCAACGCCCCCTGCTTATTATTGTTTTCTTTTATTTAATAAGTGTCAGAAAATAATGGGAAATAAATAAACAAACTTAAGGTATTTACATAGATACTCTAGTTTGATTTAAAATGGTTCAAACTTTTAGTTTTGGAGGGTCGGACTGTAGAGGATGGGAATATTGGAGGGTCATAATTTATAGATACTCTAGTTTGATTTAAAATGGTTCAAACTTTTAGTTTTGGAGGGTCGGACTGTAGAGGATGGGAATATTGGAGGGTCATAATTTATAGATACTCTAGTTTGATTTAAGGTGGTTCAAACTTTTAGTTTTGGAGGGTCGGACTGTAGAGGATG